GCTCAGAGGCCACCCCCCCGTCACCCCCCACCACCCCCCCGTGCCCCCTCCAGCTCTAATGTCTGGACCATAAAACCCTGCTGTTACACCGTGGCCAAGTCACCGACTCTGAACTGGGCTTTAATTTGGAGCTGAACATCCATCACTCCACACAGCAGCCGCCCTGAATAGATTGGATTAAGTTTTATGGTACTGATACTACACCCCCCCCCCCCCCCCACACACACACACACACACACAAACACACACACACACACACTCAGCCTGCGTGTGTGTGTGTGTGTTTTCTACATTCAGCTGCAGTGCACATCTTAGTGAGTTGTAACCGCTGATGGTCTGAGGCTGAGGACTCAAATCACACCAGGTGTTTTGTCAGGTTTTACCCACAATCCCCAGTTTGGCAGAGTCTGCAGCAGACGGTCGTCATGACATCTGTTAGTGTTCGAGGGGAACGGACCTGCGCCGCACTCAGTCTGATTGATTTCTGATTTCTTTCAATCTGAAGACCAACAAACGTATGTTGCCAAGAATCGATGAGAGAGTGAGGGTGAGAGACAGGAAGTGACATCAGGAGACGGGACGGGCACCGGGAAGGTGACTGTGGTCCAGAGAAACTGGACCGAGAGATTGATGGAGCTGTGGCTGGAGCTCCAGTGTCTGTGTGACGTTGGTTGCGTTTAGTTGTCCAAAAAAGAATAGCTGCACAAGTTTGTGTGTGTGTGTGTGTGTGTGTGTGTGTGTGTGTTTTCCTGGTACTGCTAGTCTTGTGGGGTCACTGTTTTTCTGAGGACATTTTGCAGGTTTCCTCACTGAGAGAGAGGTTTTTGAAGTTCAGGATTTAGTTTAGCGTTAAGATTAGAGTCAGATTAGATTGAATTAATCTGAAGTAACGATAATCAAACAGGGTGTGAGAATGAATTTTAAAGTATATAAGAAAAAAAAAACACATTTCATTCAAACATATTCCAGCCTAGAGCTGAAGCTTACGATTATTTTTCTTCTTTTAGATTAAATGAATATTTGAACAGGTGGAGAAAAAAAAATAGCCAAAATGAAATAAAGAAAATGTTTGAAAAATGTCAAACAACAGATCCTTTACTGCAGAAAAACAACAACCATAAAAAAAGTATAAAAGGAAAAAAGGATATAAAAGATATTGAAGCAGAAATGACAACCACCACTACAGCGCCATAAATATATAAAAGGTTGTATAAAAAAAAAAGAATTCATTTCTTAACAGTCCAGGACCGTTTCTCAGAGCG